TGGGCAGGAGGCAGCGCCGGCTGCGAGGCCACATGTTGGCACGGCAAAGGGTGGTGAAATACGGGAGAGGTGTGTGGATGGTGTCACACACCAGCGCAGGATGCAACCTCCCACCATCGAGGTCTGCCTGCTCTCGGGGGTGCAGTGCCCGCACTGGGCAGCGGGGTAGAGCCACGACAGGGTGATGGGCGCAGCACACATGCGGGAGCCCAGCTCCACTGCGCCGTGCCGTGCCCCAACGCCACCGTGTGGCATGCAGGACCTGGCCCTGGCACCGACGGCCGTCACTCCCAGCTCCTCCCTGTCCCCACAAGCACAGAAATGTCACTTCCGACGGCCGCTGCCTCGGGATGTCCCCAGCCACCACCTGTCTCTGCCAGCCCACCCCACGCACTGCGATACCATCCCGGCTAGGGAAGGAGCACCGCCAGCACACGGCAGGGTGACTGTGCCAGTGTGGACAAGGCAGGAAGAGGGAGGAGGTCACACCGTGTCACAGCCCCACAGTGGTTGCCTGGGCCACCAGCACACTTACATCTTCTCAATGAGCTCCTTCTCATCCAAGGCACCGGGCAGGTCTCGCTTGTTCCCCAGGACGAGGACCTGCAGCAGGGGAGAGGGGACACCTGAAGCTCTTGGACACCAGACCAGGCAGGAACCTGCTTCCGCCACCCAGACACGGGCCCTGCTTGAGATGCAAGACATCCCCGGCCACTTCACCAGGGTGTGCCCAGAGGGAGAAAACCCCTTCAGCAGGCAATGTGAAGGCAGAGCACCTTAATTAACAGCCTTAATTAGCCCGTACACAGCATCTCCCATGTACTCTCTAGTCCCAGTGAGAGGCGGGCCCCACAGCACATCCTCCCTGAAGGGCAACAGCACCTCTTGTGACATTCAAGACCTCATCCCAGGAGCCTCCTGCTGTCTTTGAGCAAAATCTCAAGTGAAAGGACTAAAGCGGGCATATCGGGAAGGAGCGAGATGTGGATGCAGTGCAGAACCTGCTCTTCGCAGGCAGCCAGCCCAAAAGAACACAGCTGTTTCCACCATCCACTGATCTCTCCTTACTTCAAGTCTTTTCACATCCACAAAGGCATCTTCAGACTATGCAGGGAAAATAATCACCCGGCAGGACTCACTGGGTCCCTCTGGAGCACGCCGGGCGACTGTCAGCTGACAAGGCGAGTGTGGAGGCTGCAGCCGCCTTCCCAGGGTTAGCCAGGGCCTCTGCGGCAACGTGGTAACGCAGCATCCCCCAACTTAAATTTGGAGACTTGTTCTCAAAAAAGAGCACTCAGAAGGGCTGCACATGCAGCGCGTTATGTTGGGAGATTAATTTACTTGGCAGCGAATGTTTGGGATCTGTGGCAAGATCCTCAATTAGCTCCTTTCAAAGGATGCCAATTTGGATGCTCTGTAAGCACCCCGCCCCAGCACACACAGCGTGCTCCAGGTCGCCACCGCACCTGCTGCTTGCAGCCCACCTCCTGCAATGTCACACACTCTCCTAGGAGATGAGACCTTAATGCCCCATCATAAATAAGGTGCAAATTCATGCGAGAGGATAGATCTCACATTTCGGGTTTTTTTTTTTTTGGTCTCTTTTAAAGCTCCCTTCCCTACTGGTTGGCCTGGTCCTGGGCTAGGAAGCATCACTTCCCCAGCTCCCGCAGGAGTGCAGTGGGGAAGGGGACTCCCCCAAGGAAGGGGATCTGCCCTCTTAATCTGTTCTGCAAGACACAAGCCCCTCGCTGCAAACCCTGGCAGCTGCCGGCCTGGGAACCATGAGCAGCTGCATGGAACCTATCCAGGCAACAGCTCACCGGGATGCCCTGGAGCTGCGGCTTGTCAAGCAGGTTGTGCAGTTCGTTCTTGGAGGCCTCTATCTTCTCCTGGTCGGCAGCATCCACCATGTACCTGCAAGGGAAGGGACACCCCTGAGCACAGGCACTGAGGTCCCCGCACCTCGGTGCTGTTTTGAGGTTTGTGCCACCACCAAACCTGCTCACTCAACCGCTACATTGATTCCACCGGCTCCCAGGCCAGTGCGTGGAGGTGATGGATTATGGGTCCTTCCCCCAGGACCCCTCTTCCCAAGGAAGGCTGTGAGGCTGAGAGCTTCTCATGTCATCCAGGGGAGTGGGGAACCCTCCTGTCCCCGTCCCTGCAGGGGACCACCCCGTTGACAGCAAGGGGAGCTCAGGCACTGCCTGGGCAGAAGCAGCTGCAAAACACATGATCTCCCCAAGCAAAGCTTATCTGCACATGGCAACTCCTTATGGAGACACCCAGAATAGAGGACAAGTGGAGAAGACAAGAGGAGCTGACGATGGAGAAGACATCAAGTCGAGATCCTGGCAGGGGGAAGGACCCACTCATCTTCTCTATGGGAACAATCCTGGGCATGGGGCACAGAGCAAAGGGCATACGAAGGCAGCAGTCCGTGACGCTTGCTCGGAGCAGACGAGGGAGATTTAGGGAAGGATTTAGCTCTCACAGGCAGACACCTGTCCTGCAAAGGACAAATAGAGCTAAAACTGGGGAGAGGAACTGATCAAAGCAGCCTTTATCTTCAAGATCAAGAAGCTGGGAGAGAAAAAGAGAAAAACACCATCAATCTTCATCAGGCCTTGTGGGATTTATTTAAAAAAAGAGCCTTTAGATACTGAAGTGCTGAACACAGGAAAACGTGTATGGCTGTAATGAGAGGGAGAGGGAAAAGCACTGCCACAAGCCCTCGGCATGCCGGGCAGGGTGAGAGGGCTGAAGGCAAGAGAAAAAGGATGCAATGCAGCTCGAGGCAAGGAAGGCAGACTGAAGTGTGACCTGGATGGCCACAGGTCCTTTGTTTCCCCTCGACTAGAGAGGCACCTTGGAAAAAAAAGGAGGGGAAAAAAACCAGCATTTTGTCACTGCCAGCAAAGCTCACTGTAATAAAAAGTGTCAAGAACATGTCCCAACACGGTGACAATCAGCAAGGACAGGACCAGACACTGCAGTCCTGACAAGCAGGACCAGTGGTCCCTCACTCCTCCTCACTGCCAGACCTACACTTGGGAAGGGCAGGACAGAAACCCATCCCTCCAAAATCTCAGGGCATTGTCAGTCGGTGAAGATGACATAGCTCTGATTTTCTAATTGGGTTTAGGTGACACCAACGTGGTCTTGCCTACAAGGCAAATTCTCATCCTTAGGAGCAGGCAGCCTGCTTCCCATCAGCAGCTTGCCAGGCTCATCCCCAGCCCGCACTCCCTGGGACTGCGCCTACTGCAAGGTTTGCAAGCAGGGGACACGCAGGGATGCCCAGAGACTTGCTGACAGCCAGCAGCAGGCGTTGCAGGGAGACTCCTTCTCTCAGCACAAGATTCATCCAGCAGCGCATAAAACACCACAACCTGGAAACATGCTGCTGGCAGCCGCCCCTAAAACCAGGCTCTTGGAAAGGGCTGAGCCACACCAATGGCCTTTGTTCAGCCCCCATGATGAACAGGCAGTGCAGGGAAGCACGGGAGCCAGGAACAGCAAGATCTGAGGAACAGAGCCGGGCGGAGCGATGCTGGAAGGGTGTGCCATGGCTGGCGTGGATCTCACTGCCCTGTCCTCAAAGCCCGTGGGGGCACCAGTCTCAGGCAGAAGCATCTCAACTCCCAACATGGGTGTCCGGCTCCAGCAGCGATGGCACAGCAGCTACTCCAGCTCAGCGCTGCTCAGCACCCCTGCGCGGGGCGATGGGACTGTGTCCCCAGCTGCTGGCGGGGCTCAGCATCCGCACGTGGGCGACAGGGCTCTCAACTCCCAGGGATACTCACACGATGGCACTCACTCCACGGCAGTACCGCTCCCACATGCTGCGAAACCGCGGCTGGCCACCAATGTCCCAGAGCTGCAACACGGAGAAGGTGGCGTTACCCCACTGTCTTGCTCATGACCCTTCCCCAGGCGGCCACCCGGCCAGAGCACCCAGCATGCACCAAACCCACCTCCATCCCCTCCTCTTCATCTCAAACCTAATGAGGTGGCTCCTGACTTGATAAAGCAGACACCTCAGGAAGGGCAGCTGGAGGGTGTTGAGCACCTCCTGCCACGTGCCTCTGCGGGCACAGAGAGATGCCCTGGCCCAAGCTGGGGGGCTCATCCCCATGTCCACTGCCCCTCCTCACCTTTCACTGATGCATTTGCCATTTCAAAACACTCAGCATGCTCTCAGAAACATTTCTGCAGCAGGCAGAGATCCTCAACCAGTTTTTGAAGCCCATCCCAGTCCATTATCTTCCAGTCCAACCCAGGGCCCTTGAAAGTTCCATAAGGCGCAAAAACCTCCTCTCCCTTTGCTCTCAAGGCAGAGACGACTACCGCAAGCCATGACGTTTTTTCCAGCGCTCCCACCCTCAGCAAGGTGACCACATACATGAGTCCCCATCAGCAAGCCAAAGGTATAAGAAAACCTCCACCTTTGCAGCCCGGGCTGTCTCTTACTGCAGAGGTCTGGATCTCCTACATCCCTCCCACCACCTCTGGTGGGTACCTGCAGAAACCTGGCAGAGCAGATCTTCCCAACTGCAGCTGGGGCTGCTGGCATCTTTCAGCATCCAACAGAAGTCCTACCAATCTCCTTTCACCCCATCTTTCATCCCAAGAGCCCACAATGGCAATATCATCTGCACCTTACCTTTATGGTAACATTCCCCTTGGTGATCTTCCTCATGTTAAAGCCCACCGTCGGGATCATGTCCTCGTTGAATTGTCCTGACTGCAAGGAACAAGGTTGAATGGCGTTAGGAGGCACTGAAGTGCCTCAGCCTGCCCCGAGCAGGGCACGAGGCTGACAGCCTGCCTGGGCATGACCCCAGAGGCTCTGCCAGCCCTGCAGCGGGTCCATACCAGCAGCAAAATGAGAGCCAAGGAGATAAAATGCCTGCAGTAGGGAGATGCTGCTGCACAGGGTACAGGGAGCCCTGGTGTAGCCTCCAGCCCCAGCCATGCTGTCATCTTACCCAACTCAGCCCTTTCGCAGTGAGATTCTCGAGCTCTTCGCAGGAGGAGGCAGAGGCCTGTGCTCGCTGCAGGGACCCGAGGCTCGCCATACAGACCTGCACCCCCCCTGCAAACCCTGCCGGCAGCCCCGAGGGCCCGGGCAGGCCACCGGGCTCCCCACCCAGGACAGCTGCCTCCTGCACTGGCTCCTTCTCGGCCTTGAGTCTGGGGGCCCCAGCGTATTTCCTGCCTTGGATCACTTACGGTGCAGCCCAAACCAAACTGACTTCTGCTTTCCTGCAAGCCTGCTGCCTGCCTGCGCGGCTCCTCCAGCCCCTGCACCCTGCCCGTGCATGAGAGCTAGTGCACATGTTGGTGATGTGGGGGGATGCAAAGGGTCCCTCACCCCTTCCCCACGAGCTGCCACCACATGTCATCCAGCAGCACAGCTCCGAGCTGCATCAGGCAGGAGAAGCATGAAATCGCATGAAACCACTGCAAATTTGCAGCATCCCAGTGCCGCTGAGAAACTAGGTTAGTCTTGTCAGAGCAGTGAGCAGGAACAATTTCCTCTGCTGCCGCGGAGACATGCTGGCTTGCCAGCCCACGTGCCCGGCACTGTGCTGGAGGGAAAGGACAGCACTGGTCTGTTAAAGCTCACTCCATCTTCCAGTTTGCTGCTCAGATCCCAACGCTGCGAGATGATCCTGGGCTGAGCAGTGCAGAGGGATGCACCCAGTGGCCCCAGCAGCATCCCTGAGGCAGGAGCGGCCACAGCCCTTCACCCTCTGCCTCTTGCTGCCTCCTGCCCAGCAGGCAGCCTCACTGGGACTCAAAACAGGTTTATTTCTTTGCTTTTTAAATGCATCCTTGTGGAAGGGCCTGCTGGGGGATGCCGGGGAAGCCAATGGGGAAGAGGGTTTTACAACCAGGATAACACAGTACTGGGGCTTTTGGCCATCAATGCCAAACACCTGCAGGAACCACTCACCACGGCCGAACTCACCCCAGTAGCTCTTTACTGGCATAAAATCTGTTTCTCTAGGACTTTTCTGGGTTTTCTTTCAGTTAACACAAACCTCAAAAAGCAAAGGCAATTTGAGCAGATGAGCAGAACTTTGTGCCTGGTTGAGCCAATGGCTCCTCCAGACCCACCATGTCAGTGAGTCCTCAGGGTTTTCCTGACCTCCCAGTGGTTCTGCAATACATGCCGCTTCCCTTTTTCATTTCCCTTTTGTGTTCATCAGCAAAGCTCAGCAGCCAAGGAGTCTCTGAGCCACGGTACACCCAGAAACCATGCTGAGGACTGGCGAGCAAGGACATGGGGGAGAGGATGGGAAGCAGGCAGGAATCCCTCTACCACAGGCTGACATAGGGGAAGTCTCCTGCAGACTGAGGTTCAACACACAATTTGGCTTTATGGACCAGGTTTTAAGGAAGTATAAGGCTTTAATTGGAAGACATGGATAGCAATTGCTGAAGAGCTCTCGGAAGCTGCAGGCACCTCCATCAGGGATCCTGGACCACATCATGGGAACTGCTAGCTGTGCAAAAGCCACCTCAGACATGGTTCATGTGTGATGTTAGTGCTTCTGATCCCAGGAAGGGATGGGCTGCAGGAGTCAGGAGTCACCTCTGCTTTCCCCAACGAGAGACGGGAGCGAGCATGTCTCCATAAGCAAAGCACACAGCCTTGCTCCCTGCTCCAAATCCTTCCCCCGCCACTGTGCCTGCCTCCAGGCTGCCCACAGCCAAGGGGCCAACACAAAACCATCAGTGCTGTTCAAGAAAGGCTGGGCTGGGAATGCAACATGTTGTGCTCCGGGATGTCTTGCATGTGGTCCCTGCTGTCCTGGCACCCACGGCAATGTCTTCAATGCGCTGCAATGTGCTCAGCTCCTTCTGCACTGGCTGCTCTCTGAAAGCGACTTTGAACAGTGGAAACATGATGTCCCCTCTCTGACTGTCCTAGATGCTGATGCCTCCATCATGTCTCCAACTACCTGCAGGGTCCAGCCAGGGAGAGTGGACACCAGCCCAGCTGCAGGCATGCAAAAGCTTTGCTGGACACATCCTTCCCCCAAATTTTGATTATGCAACAGACACAGCATCCACACTGGTCCTGCAGATCATGCCCATTGCTTGGGAATGGGATTCCTCCAGGAGGCATGGAAAATCCTTGCAGGCAAGATGAATTTTGTGGCTACAACAGGTGGATCAGGTCTTTGCAGACTCTAGTTCGTTGCTGCTTTGCCAGGGTCCCCTCAGCACCCTGACCAAACCACCCTGCCTCAGTGTCCTGGCTGGAAGACAAAGGACCTTTCTGCCCAGCCCCATCACTTTCCAGTTGAGCTACTGGGAGAGGCGGCCAGTATTCAGCTTTTGCAGGGGTGAGCAGTGTCCTCAGTTCACTCTGAGCTCCATCCTCTGCCACATGCATGTGGACGCCACATCACCTGCCACTTCAGCCACTGTCCCCTGCTTGGCCAGCACCCGGCACCTCGGCTTGCTGGCACGCACAAAGAAATCCCCTCAGCCTCCACATCGCATCCACCAGCTCTGGTGAGCAGCATGCAGAGCTGGGGTGGCCAGGCAGCTGTCACCCTGTCCTAGCACAGGATGACACCACTTGGATGTGACCTGCTCTTGATAAATTGCTGCTGGTTGTTTTGGAGCCCCGTATCTCCAGGTGCTCACAAGCAAGTCATTCCCTGGAGACTGGAGATGGCAGTGCTGAAATCCCAGCCCCTGGTCATCTAAAGTCATGGCTCCACCAGAACATGGTCCTCCATATGGCAGAGGCAGATGCCCAAAGTGCCCTTGGTTGGATGGCTCCCACCAGCACCTGGACCATCCCCAAAATCGCCCAGACTCGCACTCCTGCAGGTGCCCCCCACCCGTGTCACAGTGCTGAGTCCTTGCCAAACCCTGTCCAAGCTCCAACCTGGGGAGGAACACAGGGGGTTTAATTTCTCACCTGTGACCTCCCTGTCCAGCCTCCCCGACTGCCTTTGTGCACAGCACAGGGTGGGAGCGCCTGGCAGCCGGGCGCTTCGCTTGCAAAGCCACTGCTCTTCCAGGAGCTTTTCTCTGAAACCGTGCAAGACCAGCCCTGCTGCACAGGCTTGCTCCGGCCCCCCAGCACATCTTGCATCACCACGTGGAGCTGTGGCAGACCCGCAGACGGACGCTTGACTCCGAGTACTCCATTCAGATGCGAAAAAGACAAATTCGAGCCAAGCCTTTAAAACATTTCCTTCGACGGCAGGTCTCTCAGCACTCTGGGGCTCCGAGCGTCACAGGGAACCTACGGTACAGAGCCTCACATGCTCCTGCAGAAGGCACCAGGTGACAGGGCTGTCCCTGAGCGCAGCACAGCCCTCCCACGGAACCTAGAGAACTGGGAAGGTGAGCTGCCACCTGGAGCCAGGCAGGCAGCTGCAGGAAGAGCTACATGGACCCAAGAATGAGACAATCCCAACTTTTGCCCCAAATCCTCAGCATCCTTTACTTTCAAGACCTCTGTGCAGAGGGATCGCGCTGAAGGGGCCCGTGTCAGCCAGACCGCACCACCGTGGGCAGACCAGCAGTTCGAGCTGGCAAACAGTGCTGCAGGACAGGGATGGGCAACCCAGTCTCCCTCTACCTCAAAGCAGATGGTCTCACCACCAACACCTGCAATTAACATACACGGTCTGGCTCTGCAGCACCCCTCAACCTAGAAATTCCACATCGCAGGCTTTCAGCACGGTGGAAAACCCGCACTGCGCTCCTGGTGATGCTACCACAGCTGAAACAGGCTGTGCCGCTCTCCCTGGCCCCACGGGCCCTATCTCCAGGGCAGCCTGTCTCTCAAGAACACGAATGGGACCTGGGAACAAGCCTGTGGACAGCAGCCAGGCCATACACTAGCTGACCCTGCAGCCCAGGTGATGCCAGTGTGACCGTCACTGCCAGGAAGCCCACAAGAGCCTGGCAAGATGATGCCCTCCAGGACAGATCCATCCCGCTGACTGCGATGCAGCTAATGGCTTTTTTTTTGTTTTCTTTAGAGCATGGTATCACTGAAGCTCAGTTTCTTTCATAAAAATTAAGTTTCTCAGATGAAAGGGAAAGTCCTTGGGCTGCTTTTGCTTCTTCAGCACAGTACCACATCCCGAAACACCCTGGACAGCTGCACCGACCCAACACCCCGTTTGAGGCAGAGACACACAGACACGTATGAGATGATCCCAGCAGCTCCCCAGGGATGTGCAGCACAGCTCTGGACTCCGAGGTGGAGGAGGCATCCCTGCACAAGAGCTGCTGCCATGTCTGCCCCCACCTCTGCCCAGATGGACCCTGCAACTGCCTACTAATATGGTTGCTCTTGTTCAGGATGTGTCTGTAATGACGGAGCATCTGGATGGAGGCACAGAAGTGGTGACCCCACAAAGTGCTGCTGGCTCTAGAGTGATCGCTTGCTGCTGGCCCAGGCTTTGGGGTGCTACATGTGCACAGCACCACCAGCATCAGCACTACTTGATGGCAACACAGAGTTTGTTACAGAAACTCTGGAAAAAACCAAAAGCCTCTGAATCCAACCAAGGCACCGAGAAGGTCTGGTCCTGCAAGCTCGGGGAACGATGCAGGTCAGGTCCAAAGCAGAGCTGTTCTGCACCACACATCCCAAGCCAAACCTGCGACGCGGGGGCAGCAGGCAACGCCTTTGGAGGACTTCAGATCATTTGGGACAAGGCAAAAGCTGCAGCTTAGCAGCCCTGCCCTTAA